AATTATTATTGTTATTATATTTTCATCTACCTTTTTTATATATAACTCAAGGTGGCAAACATACCTAATACTTCTGCCTCCTATTTTCCCTACAACAACAACCGTGTGAGGTGGGTTGGTCTAAAAGAGAACAATTGGCCCAAAGTCACCCATCTGGTCTTCATGCCTAAGGGAGATCTAGAAATCACAATCTTCTGGTTTGTAGACCAGCATCTTAACCAGTACACCAAACTGGCCCTCATTGTTGCTCATATTCCTCCTCTTCAGAGGCCCTAGGCATTTTCCTCATGCTCAGGGGGAACCTTCTTATACAGTATATATTGCAAGAGACATAAAGTGTGTTGGAATGGGGTTTGTTTTTTCAAACTACGTATATCCTGAGAAAGTGAAAATCACTCTGTTGAATGAAAAAGGGGTATGGATACAATGGGTAGTGAGAAAGTGGTGCCGATGGAAGAATACAACATACCTGTTATGGCCAGGAAAGGCTCCTGGACTAGATATATTATGACCATAGGTTAAAGGATACAAGGAAATTACCATAACTCTAGTGAATGAGAAATGCTTCTACTAAAACTAGGTACCAAGCTGCTAATGTTTACAGTGTTGTGGAAAAAATGCACAGTAATCAAAATTGGCATTTAGAAATCTTGGTAAGTTTCCAAACATTAAATTATTAATGCTAGTGCAGATAATACATGTAGGCTATCCAAATCTTCTATTTATTCAGAAATAGCCAATGTCATTTATGGCTATATGAAGCCCGTATCTACTTAGAGTCTATACTGATTTAAATTCTTAAAACTTTGAACATTTAGTGGAAATCATAGCTCCCATTCGGTTACCTATGAGAATGCTCCATGAAAGCTAAAATAAGAACTTGCTTTCCGGCTGGGGAGAAATTTTCTGACTGATAGCAAATGTAACTTTCATATTCTCAGGTAGAAAAGGCTAAAATGGTATAGAAACTATAATTTTGCTGATGAAATTAGTCTTGTTATTTTCATCTGGGAACACAGGGAATCATATAAATATATCTCTAATTTTAGAAAACAGGGCTGCTTAATCACAGTCTGAAAGTGTACAGTGAAGCTAAGAAAGGTTGATATAGTTGGTGCCTCCATTACCTGAAAATGCACTATACGTTACTGTGTGTGTGTACGTGTATGTGTATGCTCATACATACAATGGAGTCTCCAAATATTATGCTTTACAGATGAATTTGGGCTATAAAAGCTAGCGTTTCCAGCCAGTTTAGAGAGATTCTGGGAGCTGTACTTCCAATGTAGCTGGAAGGTAGAAATGACACAAAATCAGAAACATTGTTCAGTATGGATTGAGTAGAATATATTAGCTTTAGATCTAATTCTTTTTGGAATAATAATAATACACTGCTAATAACTTAAATGAGACAACATATTTAAAGCAACTTAATAAACAGACTTCATCTGGCTTCTGTATAAAGAAACCAGAACAGGCTGTTCTTTTACTGTAATTTGGGCAGAATACAGCTGGTTGTAAACTTTCCAATTGTTCGCCAAGTTTTATTGCTTACATAGGGCAATAATGGATAGCACATGAAAAGAGGACATGTGACGTGTCCTTCCCTTAGTTTAAAGGTACAAGGTCATGGATATGAACACTTTGCTTGGCCAGCTGTGTTGGGAGTCCTGTTCTTTTTTACTCAACTCATTTTAAAATGAAATGAAATGACAGAAGGATGACTTTAACCAGTACTTTAATGTCTCAGTGTCTGTGTGGGTCTCCAATACCTATGTCCAGCGCTAAGGTATGTTCCTGGAAACGGCTTTTTTTCTGATTTGTTTGCCCTTGCCTTGTATATAATTTCAATTGTTTAACTGGCGTGAACTAGTAAAACTATTTTTAACTTCTGTGGTGTTACACTGATTTCAGTCAGATAACAGCTGGCATTTAGAAGAAGACATTTCTGGATGCTGTGTGTTACCGTGGCTGTTTTGTAAAATGAATTGCAGTTGGCTGTTTGCAGAGTTGGGAGGGTGGGGGTGCAACATTGAAGAGTTATGTTTAAGTTGTTAATACTACATAACAAGAGTGTATAACAAAGGAAGGGGTTAATCATTTGAACACAGGGGAGTTGAGGTCATGACTGCAATCTTGTGCACATATATTCAAGAGTAAGTCTGAATAAAGGGGGATGAATGTCCAATTAAATAGACATCAGATGGCCGACACGGGTCTATTGCTAAGTTTGTTTGCCTGAGGTAAGCCCCATGCAGGGAGTTGCTTCTTAATAAGCAGAAGGAAGTTTGGACAGTTCAGAGTGCAGGCTGTATAAGTTTTCGAAGGCAAGACTGTTCAGTACATCTTTTCCCCCAGTAATGGTGCTTAAGATTACAGCCTTTAGTGATACTTTGCTTATCTTTATCCATAACAATCTCGTATCTTTAGGCCTTGAAAATATGTGTTCTAATTAGATGTTACTTTTAATAATAAGATGCATTGTGTCATTAAACGCTAGCAGAGGGTGACATGAGTGAGTGGGTGGGGAATTCACATGATTACCAAAATTTGGTATTTTCTAATTGGAACCTTCATAGATTTTAGAGCAGTCTGCTGCACTCTGAGTCCATCCAAATGACTGAAACTGCGATTCCCAGGCCTATTAGCTGGTGAATTATGGGAGTTGTGGCCCCATATACTTGGAGGGTATCAGATTAGAAAAGCCTGGTGTAGATGGGATACTTTGGGACACTGATAGGGTCCCTACTTTCTTAGTCCAAATGTTCTTCAAATATCTTTTCCTTCTTTCAGTCACAAGTTATTAGGCAAAAATCAGATTTATGGATCAGTTGGCAGCACAGTAGTTTCTTGTTCTTCTCTCATATCTTCGTTATGATGACAACTTGCCTGTTTTAAGTAAGGAGCAGCTATAATTATGCAAGTAGTCATTTTGCCCCATTGTTAATGACATTTGTTACCCTAATGACAATTGGCCTTTGGAAAGTATCACCAAACTGTTGAAGAGACTCTTCTGTAGTTTTGCTAGTTTTCTCTAGCCAGGTGCCTTCTAGACTATGTTAATCTTCAGTTCCCATGTTCTCCCAGATAGCATGGGCCTATGCTGGCTGGAGGATTATGGGAATGGAAATTCAACATATTTGGAGGTAACTGGGTTAAGGAAGAATACTGTAGATTTTGTTGAAAGATAGGGAAGCTTGTTTAAGAATAGATATTGTTAGAATCTCCTTGAGTTAATTATTTCTCTTTATTCCCCATCAGATAAGGTTACAAAGTCATCTTCCAATATGAAGATAATTTCTGGTTTCACAAATTGCATTGAGACACAATGTGGGGGGTGGGGGTGGGGTAGGGGTGGTCTGTTTGTTTTCTATTAAAGATTATTATGTAAATCCAGGGGTTACACTTTATAAGCCGAGGTTTATGAACCAGCCCTCTATGGCTTGCTCAGCCAACATGGATAAAAGAAAATTAAGTATTATGATGAATAAACCCAGTATCTTCAGCAAATTAATTGGAAAGATAGCTAAGAAAATTAATTTAGCAATATGTATATGTCTTTTTGTAAATAAATCTGTGCTTAATGGAATTCACTGCCTATTAAGAAGGTTGCAGAGCAAAGCATAAGGTTCACTTTTGATAACAGTTGTGCAAAAGGAGAGTGAGACAGCAACTAATGTATCTTGGCTTTTTTCCAAAGTAATTTCAAATCATTATTACCATATATTTAGTGTCATACAATGCCTTATAGCTTCCATATTATTCAATATTAATGCCTATGTTAATATTAAAGCTAAGAGTAAACTTTCTTTAATGCTATGTTGATCTTGATAAAAGACAAAATAAAAAGTCAGTAATTTGAGGTAGAATGAAAACAGTATAACAGTCTTTGTAAGTATTAACAATTTGTAGCATAAATCTTAAACAACCCAATCTTCAGCCATGTTGTTTTCAAATAAGTTCTATAGAAATCAACGGTATTAATTGCTAAGTAATATATTACAAATTATTTCTAATTTTAACATTACAGTATTTATATTTAAGAAACAAGAAAATTCCTTCAAAGGGCTCTTATTTTATCATGGCTTTGGTGTATACCTATATAAAGCTATGGGATTTTTTGGTAATGTCTTAGCCGATGAAGAATTCTGGACAACTTGAAAACTTACATGATTTTTGTACCACTTTGATTAACCCTAATAAAGACATTGGACATAATACCATTATGTAATGTTCACACATTTTAAAGAGTAATTTAAATGAAGAATCACAAGATAGTTTTCCTAAACATTATTGTTTCTGGAAGTTTGATATGCAAATGAGCCTCTGCATATTATATTATATATGTATTATGCCATAATGTCTACCTTTTTGGTAAAGACCAGATTATTGAAATATAACAATGTCATAAGATCTTGCTCAAGAAACTTCTGTATCATCCTTTCCCTATCTGCTCCCCACCCCCCACCCCCAGTTTGTTGGAAGTACTGTATAACCATTGGGTTTTGCATCATTTGCATAAGTACATTTTAACATCTGATGGAAGTCTATAAGCTATGTCCTGATGCATGTGCCATAATTTTTCTCTTCTACCCAAGACTCTTTTGAGGACACCTGTGACTGTAATTGTTATAATTCCCAGTCAGCCTGGTCTTTATAAGAGGTGTAGTCATAACACACTAGAAGTACCAGATCAGAAAACACTACTTTATATTTTGGCCACATGCTGCTAGAAACTACTGAATAAATATCTCCTCTTTTTTTAAAAAAATGCACATATTTTGGTAAAATTGCCTAATAAAAGAAACATTTTATTAGTTTGTGAATTGGCCATTGGCTATCTACCCCATTTGCTATCAAGTATGATTGACTGTATATGTATAATGAAATAAAGTATAGAAATTGCATGGTATTTAAACCCTATTTAGAACAGCTTAAATCCTTTTATATGATTTTAAAGTATTTTTTGGCTTATTTGACTTATTCACCTTTGAAAAAAGGTTATTACTGATGATCAGTGGAAGAAGTTTCCATCCCAAGATGAAGAAAGAACAGATGCTCAAAAAGTCCCAACCAGAAGATGGGGTTCTGGAAAAAGATCTCGGCCTCGGCCCCTCTCAGATTATGGCCAGTTGGCAATTAGAAGTTTTTCCATTCCAGAAGATTCTGTTGCTGTGGATTCCCAGAAAATGGACTCTTTGGAGAATGACAGTGAGACCAAGCCTCCTCCTGTTAAATCAGAAACTTGTGCAGTAGCCAACCAAAAAACACAGAGAAGACGACCCATCTCTGTCATTGGTGCGGTCAGTTACTATGAGAATAATCAAACAGAAGAAATAACAGCTCTCCTTGCACAAGTAAGAAATAAAATTCACTCACTGAAAAACTCAATCAAAAGATCATCCTTCTTTCCTTCCCTGTTACCTTCAAGTTAGAACATAGCGGACACTCCTATTCCTTCTTTCTGCTTCTTCCAAATCATCATCACATATTTGTTCTTCTAAAAGCATGATATCAGATTAATTAACACTAGTGTATGGATAATTCTTGCTCTGTAATTATATACTGTGCTAACTTTTTCTTTCCCTGAACATTGATGCTTCTGTTTGAGATTTTAAGATATTTCTCTTTTACTGTGCCCTCTTGGCTCTGTAATAAGACAGTATGGATAATGTTGCATTATTAGAAAACTAACATGATATTTCAGAGTATGGGAGACATTTATGAACAGTAATTGAGGTATTGCACAGCAAATTTAATAAAATGGACAGGAGATTTACAAGAGACCCCCCATGATTGATAATATAAGGTGAAGTCTGGCCTAGATGGTTGGAATATGATCTATCATCATAACTATAAAGGTTTAAAAGCATAACAAATCTTTGTTATTATTTTAATGGCATCTTAATGTTTAATTATTGCAAATCAAAGACCTTGTTATCACTTGCATAATCTAAATAAGTAGATATATATCATCTAATTGAGTAGCTATATATTCATCTAAGTATTAAGCAAGAATTGCTTTGTGATCCTACCTATGACTTCTGTTTTGTTTTTCATTTCAAAATAAAAACCAAAGCCAGCAACCAACATTATCATAAAATCTTTTTGAAAAAGTCACAGTAATCTGATGTATCATTCACTTAGTTTGTGGGAATGAAGTTAGTTTGTTGGAGTTCATTCATCAAAAGTTGGCCTTTTGATTATGATCGAATACGTAATAAATAAATACAAATATGAAGGGCCTATTGACTTTTTTTTTAAAAAAAGAAACTACAAATCAAGTTAGATTATTGGAAGCTATACATTATTGTGTTATAATTCCAAGAAGGATTTTACTTAACTGTATTGATTTTGGCCATGCTTGGATGACAAGGGGCATAGTATAAACAACAGTTTATCTGCACATGTGCTCAAGAGCTCACAACCTCACCTGGCATAACTATAAGATATCCATCTGTGGGTTGTTTATAGGTCGTTGTGCTATCTCAATGAGACGTCATGGCATATATGGAGAGAAAAAGACAGAAATGTAGTAACACTCTTAGTTCTTGCAGGTGGAATAAGCCAGGCAGGCGATTTGCAGCTTTGCTGCTCATGAGGAAGAGCACCCAGGCCTGTTCACAATTAAAACATAGTTGGCTATAGCGAGTTATCTGAACATAGCCTTTGACTCAGTTATATGAAACACAAGCTGTAAAGGAATGAATCTGAAAAATATTGACTACGTTTTTATTTTCAAACATTCTGCAGTTTGAAAAGAAAGGGGTACATTTACATTTTTAGACATACATCCCAACCTTACTGTTCCACTTGGGATGGCACTTTTTGCAGATGTAACCAAAATGGGAAAAAGGAAAAATAATTTTTCACAGCAAGATACAGCCATTTCATTCACTCAGAATTTAAATTGTGAATGGATATGTACCATTATTTGTGATATGAAGTCTGTAAACATGTACACTTTTAGTCATGTGAGTGGTATACGTGGATTAGAGTGGTAGGGTTCATGTAAGTAAAAGCATACTTTACAATAACACTCACTGAATTCAGTAGAGGAATCGGTCTAGCGTAGGTTTCTGGCAGAGATTCCTTATTTAGATATTTTTTTCATTCTTTCAATATTTGCAAAGACAGGTTTTTTTTAAAAAAAATTCACAGATAAATATGGAAGTTTCACAAGTTATTTAATATTAACTTCCTTTATAGACAGCATTTTGTGTTAATAATGTAACACTGTTTATTAGGTGGTTAGAAAAAAGCTAGGCTATTATCTTTAAACTTCTTATTGTGGAAATATCACAAATATTGTTTCATTATTTTGTTACTTTTCTTAGCTTTCCAACAAGGTGGGCAATTTTCCTATATATGTGTGATTCACCCTCCTGCCCCCAGCACACTGTGTTCTCATAGGCAGTCTTCTACTAGTTTGTTGTTGTATTGCATACTTGCTGAATGTAAGCTTGAAGTAAATACAGTCTTACTACCAATGTTAGTAAAAGGAAGAGGGGTAAATATTTAAAGAAGAAATATATTATTTACTTTGAAAGGGAGAAAGTTATAATGCTTGTAAACAAATGTCTGAAAAACAATGTAAACTCCTTGTGGTTGCATAGGATCCACAAGAAAAATGGGACTCCTAGAGAGTTTTATAACTGAACTGTCTAGTTTTACTAGAATAGATGAGGCATTGTAAAGATGAAGGATTAAAAGAGATTTTGAAAGTTTTTGTAAAGATCATATTATTTTAAGAAAAAGAGAAAGGTAATCAGTTGTATGCAAGGAGTGAGGGAAGATGCACAAAAATACAAGGATATTTAAGTTGTGTTTTTATTTCATAGTCAGCTTTTAAAGAATCACCCGTGAGTGTAAGCTAGTAGAATGCCAGAAAGCAAAGCAAAATCCCTGGTTCGTGCTTGTTTCATTTGCTTGACAATTTAATTTAGAAGAAGGAAGCATTTCAGTTTCAAAGCCCTTCCAGACAAAGGAGCTGCTTGAAAGGCTGTGAAAGCCTGACAGAGGTTGTCAGAGCTTTAGCATTTAATGTGAAAAGTGCTTGCTGCTTCTTCATTAAGAGCAAATTAGTTAAAAAGAGCTAATAAGAAAAAATGGAAAGGAACACTTTCATTTTCACGGAAGGAGAGGCTTAGACATCTGTATGAAATACGTTAATTAAAGATTGCTTATATATAGTGTTCGATTTGCGAACAGAACTGGAAAAGGGCAGTTCACGAAAATCAAATGCTCTATCCCTGACGCATGGTGTCAGCCAAATCACAAACCAGGGCGTCTGTGGAGAAGGATAAAAAAAGTCAAGATGGTGACTGTGACCATGTGATCAAAGCCCCGTGGATGAGTAGGGGCAAGTCTTCAGCTGTGTGGTTGCAGTTGCCATCTTGACTTCTTTGACTCTCCCTGCAGAACCCCTTGTCATAAAGCAGTGTTGTCCAAACTTGGCCACTTTAAGATGAGTGGACTTCAACTCCCAGAATTCTCTCTCCATGCTGGCTAGGGAATTCTGGGAGGTGAAGTCCACTCATCTTAAAGTGGCCAAGTTTGGACAACACTGGGTTAAACTATACAAGTGCCACTAATTTCAACTAGAAGAGAAAAATGGCTGTCCTAAATCTCCCACTAAATTTAGTG